GTGTCCCGGGTGCTGCTGCTGCTGCTCCTGCAGCCGCCGCCCGCCAAGCTGCTCCCGGAGCACGCCCAGACTCTGGAGAAGTACTCCTGGGAGGCCTTTGACAGCCAGGGCCAGGAGAGCGGCGGCCAGCTCCCCGAAGACCTCTTCCTGCTGCTCCAGTCCCTGGTCATGGCCACCCACGAGAAGGACACGGAAGCCGTCAAGGCGTTGCAGGTGGAGATGTGGCCGCTGCTGAGCGCCGAGCAGAACCACCTGCTTCACCTCGTGCTGCAAGAAACCATCTCCCCCTCGGGACAGGGGGTCGGATGACTCGCGTTAGCCTGGTGACTTTGCTGCCAGACCTCAGGCACCCGCCTCTGCATTTGGAGGGAAATAAAAGATATTGATCACCGCCGTTCGACCTTTGTTAGCTTATTCCTCTTGCCACCATAGGAATTTAGTTGACTGAAAGTTATATTTCCATAATAGTGGGAGAAAAAAACAGTATGATGGGATCTGAGTAGAGCACCTGACTCGCTTCTCAAAAACTGCAACATAAAAATGAGACTCCTTTTAAAAAAAAAATCCTCACCGGAAGAGAGCCGCTGCTTTTGATTTTTAGGGAGCGAGAGAGTGGAAGGGAGGTGAGGGTGGGGGGGAGAAATAGACATGATGTGAGAGCTAGACATCAATTGGTTGCCTTGCGCATGCCCCCCAACAGGGGGTGGGGATCAAACCTGCAGCGTACCTGCCCTGGAGGGGAATCAAATCCCAATCCTTGTGTGTGTGTGTGTGTGTGTGTGCGTGCGCGCGGGCATGCGCGCGCAAGGCTTACGCTCTAACCACTGAGCACACAGGCCAGGGTAAAATGAGAATCCTTTTATCCCTTTTCTCTTCCACCCAAGTTGATCCGCCCCATGCACCCACGCTCTAGTCTTTGTTTCATTGTCAGGAATTTATTGTACACACTCTCAATACTTAAGCTATGTGGTTTTCTTATGGTGATTAATTTATTGGCATATTTCTCCCTTATCTGCCTCATACTTATTGGTGGGAATAAGTTGCTTGGTAAAATTGTTGCTATAGCCCTAAATCCATGATAAAGCCATTCCAATACCCCTCACTTGTGGTTTAGATTTAGTTTGCCTATAAAATGGGTGTAACTTATCTACCTGGCAGGAGGCAGAAAGCAGAAACAGGTAGTTCTTAGTTCCAAGATGTATTCATTCATTTGAAGTTGACAGTGTGTCTAGTCTAGTGTGTGGGCTATGCCAGACAGTGAATCTACAGACATCATTTGCCCTGTGGTCCTTACTCGGAGAGCTGCAATACAAACATATTCCGTGCAAGGTCATTTCAAGGGCAGACTGAAAGGGAGTGGGGCCCAACCTAAATGTGTCAGGTGTGCACTGAAATTCACATTTATGGTTCTATTCTGAGGTATCTGTACTACCCATGACCATTTTTATTGGTAGCGATCTTTCTGTAACTCAAATATATAAAATCAGCATGTTCTTTGGTGGTGTGTGATCATGTATATGCAAGCCAGTGTCATTCCTTAAAACCATCATGGCATGCTATTTATTTTAATTTTATTATTATTATTTTAATTTTTTATTGATTTCTGAGAGGAAGTGAGAGGGGGAGAGAGAGAAATAGAAACATCAATGATGAGAGGGAATCATTGATCGGCTGCCTCCTGCACGCCCCGTACTGGGGATCAAGTCCAAAACTCGGGCATGTGCCCTTGACTGGAATTGAACCTGGCACCCTTGGGTCTTCAGTCCGACGCTCTAGCCACTGAGCTAAACCAGCTAGGCACTAGCATGCCATTTTTAAAAACACTAAATTTCCAAGGCTTTTTGGTCTAAATGTTACATGCAAACCCACTTAGCTGTTTTTGTTTTAATGCAATTTATCATTATTTACAGTTTTGAGAGTGATAATAAGAACTTCAGAGTATATACTCTTTGGGTATACTCCAGAGGTCTCATCCTTTAGGCTGAAATTGTATACAGTACTAATCTTTGGGGGTGAGATTTAAGGACACAGTTTGGGGGTAGGTTTTTGTTTTGTATTTTTTGAGGGGATATGTGGATGGTTGTCTCTATGAATTAAGTGCCTCAAAATGGGTGGGAATTTTATTTATTTATTAAATTATTGGGGGCTTTTTTTTGTTGTTGTTAATCCTCACCCGAGAATATTTTTCCATTGATTTTTAGAGAGTGGAAGAGAGAGGGACAGAGAGAAGCATCGATGTGAGAGAAACACATTGATTGGTTGCCTTCTGCATGCGCCCTGACCAGGGCCCTGGGCTGGGGAGGAGCCTGCAACCAAGGTACGTGCCCTTGACCAGAATTGAACCCAGAACCCTTTGGTCTGCAGGCTGACACTCTATCCACTGAACCAAACTGGCTAGGGCTGGGTGGGAATTTTAAATTATATATATTTTTATTGATTTCAGAGAGGAAGGGAGAGGGAGAGAGAGAAACATCAATGATGAGAATCATTGAGCAGCTGCCTTCTGCACGCCCCCTACTGGGGATTGAGCCCAGAACCCGGGTATGTGCCTTGACCGCGAATTGAACCGTGACCTCCTGATTCATAGGTGGATACTCAACCACTGAGCCACACTGGCCAGGCAAAATGGGTGGGACTTTTCTGCTTCTATTTCAACAGTGTGGAAGCAATAGGCAAGGAGTGAACAGCATACACCTATTTGTGACAGATTGAGTCACCATTCCTGTGCTCTCATTGGCTGCCAGGAAAGGCCCTTTGGTACCCTAAAAGTCTAGTCCAATTTATTGTAAAAGTGGTAAGGGTGCATGCTGCTTTATGCTTTGCTTTTTGGGGTATACTCTTCTCACCCTGTTCTGCAGGCCTGGCCGGCTGTCTTACTGTCTTATGACAGGAATGCTTAGGAGTTCTGTAATGTGACTAATGGTAGTATTTGGATTTGGATTTAAGAAAAATCCTCCTTGCCGAAACTGGTTTGGTTCAGTGGATAGAGCGTCGGCCTGCTGACTGAAAGGTCCCGGGTTCGATTCCAGTCAAGGGCATGTACCTGGGTTGCGGGCACATCCCCAGTAGGAGATGTGCAGGAGGCAGCTGGTCGATGTTTCTCTCTCATCAATGTTTCTAACTCTCTATCTCTCTCCCTTCCTCTCTGTAAAAAATCAATAAAATATATTTGAAAAAACAAAAGAAGAAAAAAAAGAAAAATCCTCCTTGCCCTAACCGGTTTGGCACAGTGGATAGAGTGTCGGCCTGCGGACTGGAGGGTCCTGGGTTCGATTCCAGTCCAGGGCATGTACCTGGGTTGCGGGCACATCCCCAGTGGGGGGTGTGCAGGAGGCGGCTGATCGATGTTTCTCTCTCATCGATGTT